GAGGGGGGTATTTAGAATTGTTTCTTGGATTACTGGGTGATTTAGCTTAGTGATATGAGTTTAGGAAAGATGGGGACAAGGAAAGTTAGGGACACGGAAAGTTAGGGCCAAATAGGGGTTCGACCGGGGGGAGGGAGAGATTAGCTGAACTAGGCTCTGAAACGACTCTTTTAGAACGAATCGTTCTCCTGTTTCAATTCACAGAGAGCTACAGTAACGGGATTGACTTCAAAATTATAATTTGAATATTTCCAAACAGTAAACCTTTAAAAAATAAGAAGTATTTTAAGTAGCCTAAAATGCGATGATACTGTGTATTAGGAGGGAACTCTTAAACAACAAAATAATCGTTTCAAATGTTATTTTATTTGTTTAAGCACATAATGCGTTAGAATAGCGATAATTAGTTTGATTTTTTTTGCAATTTTGAGGATGAAGCAACCCGGCATAATCCTGTCACTATCTAGTTCCCACGAAATCTATCTACTGACTATATCACTGATAGACAGTAAATCACATAGTAAATAGAATACGGAATACCTGGAGACAACAACTGATTTGTCAGTTTGTAGTTATTTTAATAATCACCTTAATATATTAACGGATGTCTCGTAATTCTTGCGTACACGTACAAAACTGTCTACGGTCATATTCACAAACAGTAAATTGTAAAATACATATAACTATGCCAAAGAAGCTGTAACGTTTATGGTGTTATAAGTCATAGGCGACGAGCATATACATAAAAGTGTAGCAAATACTCCGTAGCAGCAAACCTAAGTACTTACTAAAATTAATGTTAATTAAATAGGAAATAAATCTGACAATTTTTATGGAATATTTTAGTAGAACTCAAGCCGGGTAAATGGAAATAGCTTAGTTTGCAGGTTTGCTGCGGCGGGGGTATTTTAATTTAGTTTCGCGCCTCCCGGCACTACCGGATCGCACAGCGAAAGACATACGGTAAGAAGATTATTCCTATTCTTGGCGTTATAACTATATGCCTACATACTTTTGCCTTATCCAAAATCATACCTTGCATGTTAGGCTGCCAACTAACAGAATTCGTTGTTACTCATGGTTTTGGCATAAACAATGTTTTAAATGTAGGCCTACTGTTCGATGTTTTTTTAATTGTTGCTGGTTAAATTAATTTGATAGTTTCATCCTGAGATCATTAGTTCACCTTATTTAGATTAACAAGTTATTGTTAATTTGACCAAAAATTGATCAAAATGACTTAGTACTATTGATTCACTCTCATTCGTATTCCTTTGACACTACTAAGAGTTATTCTTGCCCGCGAATCTATGACATGAGTTAGTTATGTACCGATTGTACTGGTACTTTGAACCATACATACATTTTTTTTTTAAACCTGTACCAATAACGAACGTGTAAAATTTGTCACTAAATTAATTGTCCTGGAAGTGATTCCAAAACACGTCACTGATTGTAAATAACTTATAACTTAAGATACAAGTGCAAGTTTGTAGGAAGAACACGTTTCTAAACAGATCGGCATTTGTTTTCAGACGAAATATTATATCGTCACATTATTGGTATTTGGTTAGTGACGTTTGCAGTAAAGAATTAAAGAAAACGTGTCCAATATCATACAAATCAGTGTTTGGATAATTTTTTATATAAATATTTCAATCAGTATATACTGACGACGAAGGAATAAATTAGGCCTAAATTACTACCACTTTTAAGAATTCACAAAAAAAATAGTTTTATCAACAGCTGATCCTCAGAGTTCCTCTTTTGCGATTGCCACGTAAAACCAAAACAATATTTAGGTTGGAAATTGGAGGTCAATCACACTCTCGCAACTACACAAAAGTTGACCCGAGTGACCTGACACCCCAATAACTGGCCTGTTTGAAAGGAAAATCTAAGAAATTGCAAATGTAGTCGATTCGGAGAAACGTGCGAGGGGATTAACGGGACATCGCTGTATTCTGTTCACTCATATTTCCTTTACCTTTCCAAGTACTGAATGTTTATGGGTTTGCTTAGATTAAACAAAAGGTGGAATACTTTGTACCAGATGCCTACGACTACATTTTACAACAAGTATTTCTTTAATCTTTCTCAGTAATAGCTAGTCACGGGTTGTTCCTGAATTATATTGTATTATTGTTCTAATACAAACGAGAGAAATTCGTCTATGTTCACGGTCGTATAACATAAATTGGAGGCTATAACATCCTCACGAAGTTGAAGCTACTGTTTTAGAAATATTCAAGTGTATTTTTTATTTAAAAAATGTATGCTTGAATAATCATTTACAATTCGAGTTTACTCCGTGATTAATAAAATAACCCTACAAAAACACTTCAATGTACTAAATCTGTTGTCCCTAAGCTCTACAAAAGTAACCATTTAAACAAGGTGAAAAATGTAAGGGGAGATAGAACTAGATATAAATACAAGTCGTAGTTACAACTAGACCTAGGTACAATAACAATAGAGAACGAGTCGATTTAAAGAGTCGTTCTCAGAGCTTAGTCAGCCTCCGTTTGCCTCCCCCTCGGCTCAAAACCCGATTTGTCCCCAAGTTTCCGTGTCCCTAAGTTTCCTCGTCCCCATCTTTCCGGACACCAGTGAGATCGCTTAGTGCAATGCTTGCACTTTGTTATCGCTTTTAACTAACTTATTGCACCTGTGACCAATCGTAATAACCCTAGATAAACAGCAAGAGCAAGGTAGCCTACACGATGGTCAGAACCTATTTACTGATACATGTATCTATGTAATCTATAGATCGTCAATTACACTTTGTTGTTGAGTGTTCAGTATCGAAGACAGTCGATCATGTCTGCTACTAGATATCATACCACAGAATCACCGTTGGTTTCGTGACAAAACATTTGATAGGCCAAGTTTGTGCCGTAAGGATATTATATTGTAATATCGCATCCTCTTGCCATCTAGAGCCTTACACAGTCTTGTAGGAACAGCAGCGGACTCCTTGCCTCAACAGCCGTTTCGCCTCAGGCTAGTGTCAGAGGCCTATTGTTTTAGGCATTTATACGGACAATGGCGTGACGAAACCCAACCTAACCTCTGTGTAGAAAGCACCGCGCGCCGTGTAGAGTGAACACTGTGAGTGTCGAAACACAGGGGCGTTAGAGGTCATGGGTCAGGGTGCGAGAACGTTACGAAACTGAATTTGGCTCTTTTATGCATGTCAGGATTTGTGGTTTTCAAATACTGTACTTATCATAATACAGGCACCAGTCAATTCAGCTCCTCGTACCTGGTGAAAAAAGTTTTCCTCTTCAATACGGGGGTTTAAAATACTGAAAACGAACGAGATGTCCTTAATTTGCCACCCAGGTTATACTTTCAATTTAATTATGAGATCCTGTGATGAAAAGTGTGATTAACATTTGATATGGGCGACTCCCATCCTAGGCGTTGCACACGTTAACGTTTTTTTTTTTTTTTTTTTTTACACAAAATTGTATGTACTAAAAAAACTATAGCTTTTTTAAACTTGTTAACAACTAATAAACCTTAAAAAATCAAATCATTATTATTATTAATTTCAATGAGTCTAAATCCTTCACTAAAAAGAATAAAGCCATAAAACGAAATATGAGAGGGATAGTTATACTGAGTTGCATGCCAGAGTGAGGCAGACCAAGGGTGAACCAGTCAACCGCACTAATAGGCAGAACCAGGGGTGAACCAGTCAACCACACTAATAGGCAGAACCAGGGGTGAACCAGTCAACCGCACTAATAGGCAGACCAAGGGTGAACCAGTCAACCACACTAATAGGCAGAACCAGGGGTGAACCAGTCAACCGCACTAATAGGCAGAACCAGGGGTGAACCAGTCAACCGCACTAATAGGCAGAACCAGGTGTGAACCAGTCAACCGCACTAATAGGCAGAACCAGGGGTGAACCAGTCAACCGCACTAATAGGCAGAACCAGGGGTGAACCAGTCAACCGCACTAATAGGCAGAACCAGGGGTGAACCAGTCAACCGCACTAATAGGCAGAACCAGGGGTGAACCAGTCAACCGCACTAATAGGCAGAACCAGGGGTGAACCAGTCAACCGCACTAATAGGCAGAACCAGGGGTGAACCAGTCAACCGCACTAATAGGCAGAACCAGGGGTGAACCAGTCAACCACACTAATAGGCAGAACCAGGGGTGAACCAGTCAACCACACTAATAGGCAGAACCAGGGGTGAACCAGTCAACCACACTAATAGGCAGAACCAGGGGTGAACCAGTCAATCACACTAATAGGCAGAACCAGGGGTGAACCAGTCAACCGCACTAATAGGCAGAACCAGGGGTGAACCAGTCAACCACACTAATAGGCAGAACCAGGGGTGAACCAGTCAACCGCACTAATAGGCAGAACCAGGGGTGCACCCCTGGTTCTGCCTCACTCTGGCATGCAACTTAGTATAGTAGCTGTTTATTTTGGAACAACGAAAGCGAAACAAAACAACAGTAGATACAGAGAGTGGTTCTGGACCATATAACTGGCCCTAGAGCTCTAAATTGATCAGGAAGTAAACATCAGGTCCGCAGTTTAAAATGTTTATGTTGATGTTATTGCTGTTGGTACAAAGTTGCAACCCAACACCTGCTATACTCGGGGCGCACTACTCCTAATGGATTTGGCTGTTTGTGGAGATAGATTATTAGTACAGAAAAAGTTATTTTTGCCAAAGATCAGTTTTTTCTTCAGGTTGTTCCCAAATGGCCATTGGTAATGAATGTGTAGGATTTGAACCTGACCTGTTGTAGGCCTACTCAAGTCTGGTGTTCTAAACCAACTGCGCCCCAGTCGCTATACCATAGCATTACCATAGGGGGCAAATGTACCTAATTAGACTATGCAGTATCTAATGTCACAGATAAATTAATTTACTTATAGTTTTGTTGGATAGATCTCGTTCTTTGTGTACTCGTACTGAAATACTAGCTGTAATTCTTTACTTATGTGTTTCTATTCTGCCCACAGTGATTTCTCGAGTCTGAAGAAGAACAACATCTTTGTCAACAATGAGTTGGCCTTTCGCACAGCTGAGCGCCATCTGGGCATCCCTGCACTGCTGGATGCTGAAGACATGGTTGAGTATGAGGTACCTGACAGACTGTCCATCCTCACCTATCTGTCACAGTTCTACCAGACATTCGCCTCCCATCGTAAGTGACCAAAGACAATAGGTTGGATCTAATTAGGTTGGGGTGTCAGTTTAATGTTACTGTCTAAAACATGTAGAAATTTGTCAACTCAGCCGTTGTGTCATTCTTTCTTCTTAGTATAAATTCTTACATTTTTTTAAAATTTGTCTCTATTTTTCCAATCCATCCAAATACAGGAAATCAAGAAGCTGAGTGACTCTTAAACAATGATTCTGTTTTCAAATGTAATTCAGAAATCTACATTCAATCTTTATTATAAAACTTTGTGTACATAATACAGGGTAATCGAAAAAGGTGTCTGTGATTTCAAAGCTTAATAAAAAAAGGCCATATAAATAGTAAAATATTCAGAGATGGATTAAAATATACAGAAACTCATAGATTCTTTTTACATACCTGGATGTTACATATTCTTAATGTAACCCCATAAAAAGGTCCAACGGCGTTAAATCCGGACTTCTAGGTGGCCACAAAACGGCGCCATTCCTCCCAATCCAACGGCCAGGGAATCTCATGTTCAGAGCATCGCGAACTATATTGCTTGAATATACATAAGTTAAGTTAACTTCCCTGGCCGTTGGATTGGGAGGAATGGCCCCGTTTTGTGGCCACCTAGAAGTCCGAATTTAACGCCGTTGGACTTTTTTTATGGGGTTACCTTAAGAATATATGTAACACTAGGGTATGTAACAAAGATTTATGAGTTTCTGCATGTTTTAATGCATCTCTGAATATTTTACTATACAATTTTCAGTTATAAAATTCCCTTTCATATTATCAGGAAACATTTTGAAGATTGTCTTAGCATTCCGTTTTACTTTTTTATATTGATTTTGCTTCCTGGTAAGATAGCCCAGTCAAATTAGCTTTAAAATTCGTAAAGAAAAACAAAAAATTGTATAGTTTTGCAAATTGGCTTAAAATGTCAGTTAAGGCTTCTACTTTATCATACTAAAAGTCCCCTAACGTGAGACTTGAGCTTTCACCGCCATCTTGGATTTTAGGTACAATTTTCTGGTTTTTCTAAATTTTCTTATAAAGTATTAATATTTTATATACCACATGCAATTACAAACTTAAAGTACACAAAATTTACTTCAAAAATTGTATTTACAGTTTTCTTGTAACTCCAATCGTTTCAGAGAAATATGAACTTAAATATGTAATTTTATTAATTTTTAGGTACAATTTTTTTGTTTTTCTTAATTATCTTAAAAACTATTAATATTTTACATAGCATATATAATTGCAAAGTTGAAGTTCACACATTTTTCTACAAAATTGTGTTTATTACTGTTTTGTAACTCTATCCGTTTTAGAGATATATGTACATGAATATAATAATTTAATTTGTTTATTATTGTACCCTCTATATGGGCTATTAAATATTATATAGAAACTTTCTGTTATAAGTTACAAATTATAATCATTGCATACTTTGATACTTTTACCGTATCCCTTTAATAAATCATAATTTACCCTATGATGCAATTTGTGGTTCTAAACAATTTAATTTAATTTAACAATTTATAGAACGTTGGTCAAACCTTTCTTTTTATAATTTTACTAGCCGTCATAACAGTGCTTCGCAACGGGAAGAGAGAGAATAATTATTACGTTCTAAAGATCTGGTTTATGTAGTTTTTAAAAGTTTAGTAATCCACTAAAAGTATTGACCGGCTAATCCGTTCCCAAACATTATTTTAGTGTACACAATAGATTTGGAAAGTCAATAAGTTAATGAATTATGCACTTAACAAATTAAACGCCTTATTCACACAGATCCAAACAATATTATTAAATTTGAAAAAATATATAGGTATATAACTGTAAAAAAATCCTACTTTGAAATCCTACCTTCTCATCACAGCTTTTGTTGTACGTTGCTTAGTTCAAATGAGCTGTTGTCATAAATTTAAACAGTTAATAGTGTTGCACCCTGTTGGCAAACCTTCTAACTTTGTAATGTTATTCAGTATCACAGAATCAAATTGTTAAGTTTAAAAAGCTGTTAACATTGTTTAATTCTATTTAAATATGAGTACTCATAATAAGGTCAACATGGGAAACTGCAGAGCCACTAGTTGCGAAGCCGTTTGGACGGATCTGCACCAAACTTCACACAAACCTTCCTTGTATAATGCTTAATATGTTTCATTACAATCTGCCAAGCGGTTTCGGAGTCCATATTGTATATACATACATCCTTCCTCTTTTATAGATATAGATATATTTAGTGTTAACGTTTAGTAAACCAATTATAACTAATATTGGAGCAGTTCAGTTCAAATAAAAATTAGTTTGATAGAACTAGTCAGCTTAATTTCAATTGTAATTCAATACTTTTCAAATAAATTTTGTGTAAAGAAGTTTGTAAGATAGAAACAAGTTTCAAGGAAATATCTTGCATTTTAGTCATTCATGGAACGGATGGTGGCATGTGGGTGCTTAGGCCTATTAGTCGATTCACCATATTTTTCACTTTACTTTTTATCGTACGCTTATCAACAGTGGGTCCAGTGATTTCCTTCATCAACTCTTCCATAGCAAACTGACAATCATCGTTCATTTAAATACAATAAATTTACTTATTTCTTCAACAGCACCACTAATGTCGTCTCCCTCAGGTCGTTCTCTTTTTTGGGATTTTAAAATTCGAGCATCAAAAAAGGTCGAATAGCAATCCCGATTATTAAGTCTGACACATTTGATACGTAGATGTACTTCGTCCCCCCATTTTTATTCATATTCTAAGCTGTTTCTTGCACTTTATCTTTCATATCCAAGTTCCGTACCATATTAACTTTGCGTCTCTTCTTTAAAGGCTCCTTTTTCATCCTCTAAGTATCACTACTAATGAACTCACCAACTAATTAAACTACAACAATATAAGAACTTTTTTGCAGGGTTGTGCTCGAGGTATCTTTATGAGGAAGTCAAGTGTACTATCCACGGTTTTGGCTGCTGAAATAGACGCTGGTCTGATATATGTTTTAAGGCAGTATCATTGACTATATATACCTACAGTAGGTATATATAGTCAATGGCAGTATGTATAGACATATAATCTTTCCTTTCTTCGCTTGCTTTTACCAAACCTGCCAAACCTTTCGCACCAACTTTAATATAACTCTCGCCGTCCACTATACATTGATCACAAATATCACATTTCAATGATTTACTTATTTCAAATTTTTCGAAAATAGGTAATCTATTATATTATTAAAGTTATACAATCCAATTCTATGTAAATGGTTAAGGCCTTAAAGCAAATAAAAATATAGGCATTAAAAATATAGGCATTAAATATGGCATATCAAAATGAAGCTCAGAGTGTGTTGATTTGCCAAAAAAATAATGGTATAAACGAACTCTCTTGGGGCTCTGCTCCACAGGCCGATTTCCAAGATTATTAAAGTGATACGATATTTTTTTTTGAAATGGTTAACACCATTAATCAAATAAAGAGTCTTCCAAGAGGTTGTCGTGGATTTAAAACAGGTCTTTGTAAAAGAGACCGGTACAACGGTACCCACCTCAGCAACCTCAGGACGTAAGGTATGACGGTCCCGCTGCTTTTAACATTCTGATGAGAATTTCTCGAACTTGGACCCTTTAAATGAAATATAAGGGTAAAATTAATTAAATGGAGGCTTCTGAATTGTACACCCATGGAATTCACGGGTAGAACCTCTTGTTTGCATATAATTTCATTGCAAATATACATCTTAAACAAGACAAGAGACTAAATGACAGATGATAACTAACAAATGATTAAATAATTTAAAAAAAAACCATAATTAATGGTTTTCAACAGGTTTGTTAACTTCCAACAGCTAAAATTAAATACTACTTTATAACGATAGTAATAAAGTACTATAAATAGTAATAATAATGATTATGTTCAACCAACCCTAAAACTATTTATATACAATAATGTTTACAACTAATATTCTCAAAACTTGAATCAGAGGGTGAATTCTATTATAACAGAAAGTTTCCATATACTATTTAATAGCCCACGTACAGGGTAAAATGACAAACAAATTAAATTATCATATTAATGTGCATATATCTCTAAAACGGATAGAGTTACAAAACAGTAATAAATATAATTTTTGTAGAAAAATGTGTGAACTTCAACTTTGCAATTATATATGCTATGTAAAATATTAATAGTTTTTGAGATAATTTGGAAAAACTAAAAAATTGTACCTAAAAATTTATAAAATTACATATTTAAGTTCATATTTCTCTGAAACGATTGCAGTTACAAGAAAACTGTTAATACAATTTTTGTAGTAAATTTTGTGTACTTTAAGTTTGTAATTGCATGTGGTATATTAAATATTAATACTTTATAAGAAAATTTAGAAAAACCAGAAAATTGTACCTAAAATCCAAGATGGCGGCGAAAGCTCAAGTCTCACGTTAGGGGACTTTAAGTATGATAAAGTAGAAGCCTTAACTGACATTTTAAGCCAATTTGCAAAACTATACCATTTTTTGTTTTTTGATTACATTAATTTGACTGGGCTAAGATTACTTTTGTATTTTTGGTTAAAGGCAGAAACATTTAAATACATTAATACAGTTTTGCCATGTATACTATCGTAACAAATTTAGTTTAAATGTAACAGTATTGAATAATTGGCCCAAGAAGTTGTATACAGTATTTACTACTTTCAATATATCCGACACAATGTATATATTAAAACTGTAGGATTGTGTGAAGGGAATCATCAGTTCAAGATGGATGCGGACTTATTAGACAAGGTTGGGATCGAACAAACAAAGAAGTTAACACCAACTTGTCAACAATTGGATGAGAGATGATTTTCTCTGTAACCCAAGTCTAATTAAGAAAAGTGGCATAATAAACAACTCCACATTCATCCCAGTGTGTAAAGCTTGAATATAACTTGTGTTAAGGTGGGAGACAAAAACTATAGATGGTGGTTCTTAAGAATTTATCATTGGGTTCAGAATTTGGATTAGAA